TGTGCATGCGGGTGTGTTAGCCGCTGGTTTGTTAGCGGTCAAGTCTTTTTCTTTTTTATTCTTCCTATTATTACTTCTTGTTTTCACTCATGAACACACACTGGGGACACATCCATCCATTTATCAACATGTACAGTTTTAGAAGTTAAAGGATAGGAAAACCAGTTACATACATGTTTTGGTAATTATTATTATTATTACTTTTGGTTCTGAACTCAACCTTTCATTGCTGTTCCACTGCTAATTTTTTAAGGTTGCCAGGGCAGCCAAATGATTCCAGTTCATGGCTATTTCTCTCCCTTGAATGGCTATTGTGCAGTAACAAAGCATGCATGGACCTGAATGTCCTTTCTCATCATGTCCACATTTTAGGATGAATTGCTTGTAGTCCTTATGTCCATGGGCTCATTTGGTTGACCCACTCCAACTGCTCTTTAGTGGAGACATCTGAGGCCACAAAAAGCAGGTCTGACAAAAAGGCCTGATGAAGACAAATAATAGTCAGGTAGGCTATTTTGTTGTTTCAAATAAAAGGGGAGTACATTTTTAAGCATGTGTACATTTTATAATTACGTGTTTGAATGCACTTGTTATTAGGTCTTTATCAGAGATGAGAGGTTACATAAATGCTTTCTATCAGCCTTTCAGACTTTGGTCACTTTTCATTTTTAATAACTTTCCCCCCCCCAGAAATGCCAAAGTCGAGATGAGAATGCGGTCTATAAGGTTCAGGTGAGATTCATTGGAGTGAGTTATTTTACTAAAACTTTCTGTGTGAGTAATGTTTTTTTATGTAGTATGAGCTACAAGAACTCATGCAAAATTCTTGAACAGGTGCTATTTAAATCTACCTCAATGTGATCCAGTTCCCTCTAGGTAATTACATAGCATTATGCTTAAATCAAATCTAGAGCAATCAACCATAGCTAGAAAAATGTCTGTGTAAAGCAACGAAGTGCCTCTTCTGCTCTTGTTTACATTTACTCAAAAGTAATTAATGAAAGTTAATTTGCTCTATAATTTTTTTTTTCTCTAAATTTTAAAGTAATGATAATAATAGTGCTGCACAGTGATGCAGTTAATTGCACTGTTGCATTGCAGTAAGAAGGCCCTGGGTTTGACACTTGGCCTGGGGTCTTTCTACATGGAGTTTGGATGTTCTTCCTGTTCATCAGTGGGTTCCTTCTGGGTACTTGAACTTCCTCCCACAGTCTGAAAACATGACTGCTAGGCTATCTGGTTACTCCAAATTGCCCTAAATTGCGAGTTTATGTGTGTGAAGTTTATTTTTCCCTATGTTACCCTGCTGGATTGGTGAATTGTCCAAGGTGTACCCCAACCCAGGCTGGAGATGGGCAATGGCCCCCCAGTGAAACGGGTACAAGCAATGTACCAATTTAGTTTTCATCAATGGAATCACAAAACCTGTCATTCTGATTAATATTTTCTGTCACCCCAGAGAGGGAAAATGTAACTTTAGTGTTGGCACAACCAATGCAACCAATGTAGGAGATCATCTGTGGCCTCTGAGTGATGTTTCATATAAAGCAACAGAAGCACTGATTTATAAAAAATGGTCCTGTGAAGATTAAAGTAGTGTCTAAATTCCTCCCTTCTTTTATTCATACACATGCATCCTATGTCCGGCACTTTGAGGGGAACAAGTGAAGTGAATCTCCATTACTATTGCTGCCATCAGTCAGATTCTATCCAGTGGTACGTCTCATCTCCCTCTTAGTTGAAGTGTGGGTGGCAACATGAGGAAACAAGAGTGAGGAAGAGTGGAGCAAAAGTAGGTATCCAGGAGGTTAAAAGCATGCTTCTTTTTTTCCTCCAACTCCTTGTCTTCCTACTTTAGGCCTTGTGGAGTTAATGAGGGTCTTGGCTTTGTAAACATTATTTCTGGTATATTGCAGCTGCAATCAGCTATTATTTATGGCTTGAATTTTAATAATGTGAGAGCTAATAAGCCTCAGAAAGATGGAGAAACACAGAAAACCTGGAGCACAACAGCCAAGCGAAGCTTTCCTACACACACTAAGGAGGCTGGCCACTCAACAGCAACATCAAACGTTTGCTCTTCGGTGCCTGGCTGATGTTAATTGTACATCTATTGTTCCTCCATAGGTTCCTGGGAAACCAAAGAAAAGGAAGCTGACTATAGAGAGAAGGGGCTGATTAGACTGCAGCCGAATGACAATGCTGTAAAACAATATCACACTAAGAAGCATGTCACTGACATAACTAAGTCCATCACTTAACAATTAAGACACACACAAGGAGAATGTATAGTTTTAACCCACATGGAAAAGGGATTTAGTGTTTAGAAGATGAGGAACACTTGTTTCACACTAAGAAAGAAAAATAAAAAATAAAAGAGTATTTTGTTCTGTGCAACTATCTACATAGTTGAAAACAGATATGTGTGAAAAGATAAAATCTTTTTTCTCACAGTCAATCATTACCAACATTGTATTTTGCTTTTTGCCTGAATAATGATTCTCTTCAGAATCAGAAGTTTTAATACATCTGCTTCACTTCTTTTGGTCTACATAAGTTTGGCCTTTCATTGTTCAAAGATTCTTGATATGGTTTTGAAAACATGTCTTAATATATTAACACTTAATATATTGAGGTATATTAACATATATTAGTATTTTAATATATTAAAGTATTCTGCTTTAGTATTCATATCAGAAAACTACATTACTGCTTTACATTACAGCATTATAAATTTGGAGTCTATCTTGTAGTCTACAAAAACAATGATTAAATCACCAGAAATACATTTTAAACTAGACAGTAACAATGTTAAAAGTACCTAAAGGAATGCACGTTTGGTTTTCAAAAGAGAAATGGAGATTACTGCAGCAAAAACATCCTAAATTTGTTGGATTTTACTGTCTTTTGTGCTGTGCAGGCTGCATGTGAACAAGATACCTGGCAGTAAGCGCCAGGGCCAAGGTGACGGTGAGTTAAAAGGGCAGGGTTCAGGAAAGTAAAGGACCCTGTACTGCTTCACGCACTCCCTTGCTGTCCATATTTACGAGGTGTAATTTTTATGTGAGCGCCAGGCAACAACAGGTTTAAAAGGGCCAACGTAACCTTCCTGGGGCTCGGGGTGACCTGCACCCCAGTTACGATAGACTCCCTGGGCCACAATTAGGACGAGGGCTTGACTGAGTCACCCCAGCGTCATACTGCATGCAGGGTCGTTTTAGCCTGAAATCCTACTCCCCGCATTTGCTAGCTGACTTGAAACTGTCAGATGGCTCTTTTTTTTTTTTTTTTTTTTCCCCTCTGGGGACACTTCATTCTCAGAATATAGATGGCAGCAAGTAGCTTTAAAAAAAAAAGCAAGACAAAAAGTAAAGGAGGGTTACATTTTAGTGTTCCCTCCCTTCCCCTTTCTATCTCTGCGGCACAGTGAGCTGTAACAGTTGCCACGATGTTCAGCGACAAAGTGAGTATACAGCAGGAGCTCACTGGGTCTGGCCACGCAGACTTGTCACCACCATTCACCATCAAACCCCAAACTACCAATTACCTTCTAAGCCCACCCCCACCTGCCCCAAGGCACAATGACCTGCCCCCCCTTCAGTATGTGCTACTCCGCGCAGCACTAGCCCCCCCACTGCCTCCCGTTTCACTCCAAAGATGCCCCATGACTCCATGACATACAGATTCTCAGAGAAATATTCGCCCCCCATCTGTGTGTGTCCCTCCGTTTGTCAGAACCCTGAACTTTACAAAAAGGATAAAGTCAATTTGTCCGCGCCTGTTCCAGGCGGAGCTCGGTGCAGCTAAATCAACAGCTTCTCATCTGAGGGGTAACAAGGTGGGACATGCTGGCTTCAAAGCAGAGGCTCAAGATGCAGGCCTTTCCTGCACAGTAAGTGGCAGCTGAACAGAATTAATGCATGATTGACTGGATTGACTGCAGAAAAAGTTTCTCGAACTGCTGCGGACGACAGGCTGTGACTGCGCTCGAATTATACCTGACAGGTCACACTGATCTGTTACAAAATGACGTAATATCTTAGCAACATAAACAACTCGGAAATCTGATTTCTTTCACATTTTAACACTGAGACCAAAGCTTTTGCAGAAGACCTTCATCGTGATGTTGAACTGAGCTGAACTAATCCTTTATCCTATGGATGATTCATTTAAGTTGTTAAATGCCAACTCAGAGACACATTCATCCTGACCAACATTTAAAGATTCAATAGCTTTCTTTTTTCAGATATATGATTTTCTTTTGTTTTTCTAGCTAATCTTCTTTACAGTTTGAGTGAGCATCATTTTTTGTTGCCTTCGTGTATCTGCAGTCATACTGAAAACTAATTTATCTAGAAAGACTACCTCTTGTACTGTTTACAAATTGGTTTGAAGGAAGCTAATAAGAAAAATATAATTGCTACAGAAAAAAAAAGAAAAAAAAAACTCCAGTGAAAGGCAGACATTCCCTGCTGTATGACAGCTGTGTGTCAAGATATTTGCCAATGAAAGCGTCCAAGATGGGGCCAGGAACTGCATCTACTATGGTCCAAACTTAGCCTTAATCCAGAGAGAGGTTACAGCAAATGCTGATTTCTTAAGGTAGTTATCTTTTTAGTATTAGTGTCAGTGTGGCAGCTGGCAAAACAATTGGACAAAGGTGGCTCACTTCATTCCTCTTTGTTGCATCCAAACCTTCCCATTAATATAAAAACAAGTGTTAAAAACTACAAATAATCCTGATTTTATTTGTTTAATTTAATTTTATTTTTTTACTATTCCAGTGTCAGTGTTGCAACTCTGTGAACATTTCTACAATCAGTTTAAGTCTGACCTGATCTCATTTTACTCTAATCGTAATGTGTTTGAGTTCATTTATTTCTATATCCATAGCGATGCAGGAAATGACAATAAGAAGCTTGATCCATATCTCTGCCGGTATTTGTTATTGAGCCTTTATATTTCAAGTTCACTCGTTTTGAAAGAGCATCGTGTGCCCCTTTTCTACCGGCTCTACTTCAACAACCCGGCTCGGCTCGGCCCGGCTCGGCTCTGTTTCGGAGTGACCGCGTTTCCACCGGCCCAACTTGGCTCTGTAGCAGGGCACCGCCTCCTGGTGGCGGAGGGGTGTAGCGCCCCGCCTCCAGGTGCTTATGTGCTGTGCTTCGTTACTATTATGCGACCTAACGCGAGTTGTTGTTTTTCTGATACAAAAGAAGAAGAGAGAGCTGAGCTATTTTTTGTAGCCTGATTGCGATTTTCTGAGACTTCAAGAAAATGCGACAGTGGGAGAAATGCTGCGATGTGGTGAGGAAGAGCTGATCTCCGCCTTGCAGCGGCAGGAAAGCAGGTGGCTCAGACGGTTCAGGTAAGCTAACGATGATTTTTGTATTAAACTACAATATAACTTGTAATAGTACCGAATATACATGAGCTAATGTCAGTCAGGGTGTTGCAAATAACTTAAAAATGTCAGAATTAATTCATAATATATTTCAATGTGTTTCAGATGTTTGTAAACTGCCGCCGCAGACCATCGTGGTTCTTCGTGCAGCCTTTGGGTTGTAGGATGTCTCATCAGTGTCCGTCTTCCTGACTGCTGGTCGGTGTTTACCTTCAGGATGTCCAGAGACCTTCACCTTTCTGGAGCAGGAATCACATGAGCTCAATATGCTGATGAAACATTTCTGATAAAAAAAAAAAAATGTGTCTGATGTTCTTACAGAGTTGAAGTGCATTAACAATCTGTTGTTTTCAACTTCTCAATACATTTAATTATGATTCACCTGATATCCAAGTTATACTGAGAACAAATCAAGCTTTATTCCTTCTAATCTGACTGGTTCTAGTTCCATGTTTTCACATTTTGGACACTAAGAATTAAAAGTTTAAACTCAGTCTTAATTATCACTTATTAAGGTTACAGGTTTTTGAAACATTTTCTCATTTTTTTACATTGAAGATTCTGCAGGAAGACAGATAAACAGTGAGTGGATAGAATGACGTTGTATAAACTAGAAACTAACAAACATGATTTATATTTAGGGTTCTTGTTAATAGCAGCCTCGATAATACCAAAATGTTTGGTTTGCTAAATTATGTATTCAGTTTCGGATGCCTTCATTGGTAATCTACAACGTTAAGTTCAATGAAATATTTATATAATATGTTATTTTCACTCTGGCTAAAGCTCCTCACATTTTGGGAGGATTATATTAGGACCTTGATATAAACTAAAGTAAGTACAATAATGTGTGGAGTGAGCAGAAATAAACAGACTTTGTTCACTGAGACACAACAACTTTCATTTTTCTTTTGTTTGTCTCAGTTCTCCATGGAGCTCTTCCATCTCTGCTGGTAGCTTATTCCTGATGAAGGAGATCCTGTTGTTCTGATGGTTCTCCTCATTGTTCTCCATCATGTCAGCCATGTTGCTCTCCTTCTGCTGGGAAAAGTAATCAGATGTTGTAGCTTATAGCACATAAATGTAAATAAATAACATAGTTACTAATGTGGAAGTTACATACACATAAGGAATTATTTAAAACAGACATGTTACTTTATATATACAGTTTTTTTTTATCATCCAGCCATACAGAATTATAAATAACTGGAATAGTTATGTAAATTAAAGACAAAATGTAATTACTTGTAAGTTTTAGACCTATGCAGACATACAGCCATGGATAAAATACCACTATCGTTTTCTTTAGGTTTATTGTTCATTCTACAACTAATAATTCGTAACAATTTCATTAGAGAACTGATATCTAGCCATTTTACAATAATATGATGTCATATAACATGTTTTATTATCTCACAATGGGGCAAACTCAGATGCAACAGCAAAATGAGAAACAATCGAAGCACGCAGATTCACACAAAGATAAACAAAAGAAGGTAACATGCTGTACAATATTGAGTTATTTATATAACTGTAATGTGCAACTGAGTGTCTAAAGAAAATGCGCATGTTGTGTTTCAGCAATAAAAATACAGCAGACTTTGTGCTTTAAATGTCTTCCATGACTGTATGTATGCAACCTTAAATGTAGTAAAAACCAGACAGATATATCTACAGGCTGCTCACCTGGCTGGGAGCAGCAGCGGCGTTAGCTGCGTCTGCGTCGGTGTTCACCGTGAGGCTGCGTGGGGCTCCGAAGAGGCTAACGAGGCTTTCCATTCTCTCCACTACGGTGACAAAAACGACTCATTCCTCACGGCTCCATCGAGCTGCCGCTGAATACTAAAATTAGAAGCAAAGAAAAAAGCCGGCATCTTTTAGTTCACGGCTTGTTTGTATCTTCCATCACTTCCGTGTTGCAGAGTTTCAAACGTTGCGCCTTCGTTTTTCTTCGTTGCTCCGTCTGTCCACGCCCTCGGCCAATCAGTGAACAGCAGCGAAGCTTGCGTCACCCACCAAACCAGGGTCCTGCTCCCGGCTGGTCCTGCTCCCAAGCAGGACCCTAAAAAGCAGGGCTAGCCCCGTAAAAAAAAGCCGGTGGAAACGCTCGGAAAGCGAGCCGAGCCGGGGCGAGTCGAGCCGGTGGAAAAGGGGGATAACAGTAACACCCTAAAGCTGATTGCCTATGAAACCGGCTGCACTGTGTTTTCAAATAGTTATTGACACTTTCTGGCGCATGTTATTCCTAAACCTAAAATTTAGATCGATTATGACAAGGAACTTGCTGCTAAGATCAACAAAGCTCTTGAAGTTGAGCAGTTTTTCCTAATAAGACTAACTTCCTTAGAGATATCTGTGTGTAAAGGCCATTTCTAATGAAACTTTAGAAAAATCTCGGTCTTTCTCTGACAAGTGCATTTTCATCCTATTTGTTAAGGATATAACTTTCAACTTTTTATGCTTCTCAAGCTGTATTATCTTCGGTATTTTTTATTGATGCAACACAAGAAGCTGGAACGAATTATGCATTTGTGGATTAGGAAGCTATCAACAACGTGCTGAAAGTTTTGCTATAAAATCGATTTGGCTTAAAATCAAAGAAACTTGTTCACTGTAAATGCATAGGAACTTGTGTAAAAATGCAAGAAACACACAGAATTACAAAAGAATGGGAAAGACAGCCCAAAAGTTTAGACTCCTTTATTATAAAACCTAAAATGCTCAGAAAATGCCAATGGAGCCAAGTGATCTGTAGTTCCGTATTTTGTCTTGATATTGTATATTCAAATTGTATTTAATAGCACATTAAATCCTGATTCAAAGAACAAGATTTTGGCTATGAGTAAGCATCAGACATACTGGGTGATGCCCGCCATGTATAGGCCAGCCAAGGATTGATGTAATTTAACCAAAAGAAGCATATTATAAATATATTTTAACTACACCATCGGTCACAGAAAAGCTGAGGAAAAAGGCTAAAAAGTCAACAAGTGAATGCAGAAAAAAATATGCCAAACTTAGTGATATGTTTGCTTTTTTCCATCACAACTTCTGCTGCAGCAACAGGTGAAAGCTGTGTGAAATGTGTGTATGAAAATGTTTTCCTTACTGATTTGATGTAATAATGTCATCTTAAATTAGCATTTTCTTTAGTTGTAAGTGGAAAATACAGTATGTCTGTGTAATAAATCTATTATCTGTTTCAATTAGTTAACAAATGAAAAAAAAAACTTTTTAGTGATATTCTAACATATTAAATATGACTGGATAACTTCTGGCCCATTAACTCATTGGATTGTGCCACAATGAGCTGGAGAGAGAAAACTCTGTGACTTTCTCCTGGATCTGTAACTTCTGCAGCCCAACTTTGGATAAGAAGAATGAATGGATATTCTAGTATCAGGAGTTTGTTTACTGTGGATTCACTTTTCCTCAAAATCTCCAAATGAACTGAATCACGTAATGAGTCAGTTTATCAGTAGACGTCAAAGTGGCATGGTGGGACATAGTTTTGCACTTGCAAACCAGCAGTGGGCATGTAAACAATCACATTCTCAAGAAGCTGCTATGTGTGGAACATGATGAGATAAATCTAAATTTAGTATTGGGGAATTACCAGAGAATCTGTGTAAACAGGGGGAGCCAGTGGGAGTTCTTGAATGAATCGACTAACTTTTCCTTCCCCAACGCGTACAACACAGTTTGCAAAAACATCATTTTTTTGGTTAAGCGCAGATAAAAGTACCTCCTAGACACAGGATAATTTGCAGCTCTCTCAATGTTAGCTCAGTGTGGCAGACAGTAAGCTGAGCTTGATCTGTCCCTTCTTAGAAGCAAGGCTACAAAAAGCAATATGAAGCACGTGAAGGGCATAATGACAGTTTTGCACCAGCACTATGTTTTTACAAAATGATGCTTGTGCATATCCTTTTCTACCACCACTCTGGACAACAGCCCACGTAGGCCGTATCAAAAGCCGTCGCTGACTTTTTTTTTTTTATGTCCTGAAAAAAAAAAATCACTGAAAAATCTTTTAAACAAGAACGTAAAGATATAGTTCTAGTTAGGAACAACTTGAAGATGAACAGATGAAATCATCAGCACCAAAATCTGCAAGACCATAAGCACTATGAGCAAGTTGCACATGATCAGGCTCAGTCTCTACTCATCCAGTCCCTGTTGGATTCACACTGAATGTTGCATGGCAGTGGATGATAAATTTGTGTAACAGGCAGCTATGCTGGCTGAAACCTTTTCATTTCCCCACCCTTCACTTTTACAGTCAGCAGTAACTTTGACTGCAGGATTTCAGACTGAGCCATTTGGGTGTTTTCTTCCTAAAAACCTTTTAATAATTTGACAACAGCTCAGTTGGGCAAAATATATTGTGATATCTGTTACATACAGAATTGAATTAGTTTTCTGTAGCTCCTCCATAAAACTGTGAGGATAAAACTTGATTGAGGACGGTTATATGTTATTTCCCTGAGTAGGAGATCTGTGTTTCACATTTACTGTTGCTTTAGGGAAAGCCCAGGTAGTTGATTGTTGTCAACTTAAAAATAAGCCCCACAACTGGATCAAGTCGGGATTGTGGTGTATTGAGGAAGTATTACTACTTGACTAAAGTCCAAAGGGTTGGAGTCTCAGTTGATGGCGTCTCAGCTAAAGTTCTACAGCTTTTAATTTCTCTTTCTCACTGTTTATGTTTTAATTATGTTTTTTAAAATCTCTTTCTCACTGTTTATGTTTTAATGTTTTTTTAAATCTCTTTCTCATGCTGTTTTTATTTTAATTATGTAAAGCACTTTGAAATGCCTTGCTGCTGAAATGTGCTATACAAATAAAATTTGATTGATTGATTGATTGATACTATCATTTAGTAGCACTGCTTACAGTGTCTGATTTTGTTCACTGATTAAATAAAACAGGAGGTGAGGGTGAGGGGGAAAAGGCAAACTGTACTGTCAGCAGATCACGAGAAATATTTGCTCATTATAACAAATTAATTCATCTATGCCGTGAGGGTTCAGATTTGAGACAGCATACACTCTGTGCCTTGTTTTGTGCAGATGGATGGGAGCAATGCTGGAGCAAAGGACTCATGACTATCAGTAAATGTTTGGCTACCTCTTAAGATTGCAGTATCATCTGACTGAGCTCCATCATGCACTGTCCTGTTATTATCGATAACACAACTAAAAAGAAAAAAAAAGTTTTTGTTTTCATTATTAACTATGAATATACTACCCTAACTCATCAAGATGTGTAAAATCGATTCTAAAGAA